CCGCCCCGCCCCGCCCCCGGGCCCGGGAGTAACCGGTGCCCCAGCTCTCCGACTGGGAAACTGAGGCTGCTGCTAGCCCCGGCGCTTTGGGACCCAGCCTGATGCTGTCCACCCACTTAACCTCCCCTCCACCTCACCCGACATTTGGGTGGCAGCTACAGGCTGCCAGGCTCCTGTGAGTCAGGCGGCACTTCCCTGCAGTATTCACCAAATGAAAATAACTCCAGGTTTTAGGCTTGGCTCAGAGCTTGCCTGATGACTTGCATCTTCACTGCAGAGTGCTCTGTCTCCTTGCTCCACAAAGCTCAGGGTGGAATTGAGAGGGGAGGCTTCGTTGGAATTCCATTATACAGATGAGCAAATTGAGACTGGCAAGGTGAACAAGGTCACAGGACTGGCGGGTGTAAGGCTCTGCCCTAGCGGAACAGCCTCGTCCCCCAGCCCCAGCCCCAAGAGAGTGAGCCTAGGGCTTTAGGGGCCTGTAAGGGGGATGAGGGTTATGAAAATAAGAATAATAGTGTAGTAATGATAATACCGGCTAATGTTAACTCAGTACTAGAGGCAGGCCCTTCACAAGTTATTAGGGCCTAATAACACTGCTGACCCTTAGAGAAATTATTGGGTTTGGTCCCAGGTCTGTAGGGACAGGAGCACTCACCTCTGCTGTTACCAGACCCCCTGTCTCCCAGGGGGATGGGGATCCCCAGAGTGAGGATAGGGAGGGGACAGTCATCACAGGCACTGTCTATGGAATCCACCCATCCCACATGACCCATGCGGTTAATACCACTTACACAGGAGGAAGTTTCATCTTAAAGAGATAAAGGGGGGCACCTCAAAGCAGTGGCTGAGCAGGGGCCTGCACCAGATCTGTCTGATGCTGAGCCCCTGAGAGAACTGTGGGAGGAACCAATAGCCAGGCTTTGCCTGTATCCCCTCGGTTTCCTTTGCATCGCCCACACTCAGAGCTTTGGATCATGTGGGACAATGGATTAGATGAGAATGAGTTCCCCACCCTACCTCCAAGTACACCTCTGCTGCTCCTCTACCTGTCTGGCTCCCAGATGCCCAGCCAGATCCCAGAGTGACATCCCCTAGCACTTGGCACCTGCTGGCCCAGTCCACAGAAGACTGCCAACTGAGGCTGGCCCCTAAGCTGGCCGGAGCTGCAGGCTGGATCAGAGTGAGGTAGCTCAGGGGTATGCCACCTCTGTCCTCAGGCTGCTCATGGTCAGTAAGAGGACACACCTTGAAACTATTTGGAAGCTCTGTGCCTTCGAACTGAGGCTCTTAGAACAGTGGTTTCTTAGTCTGAACCTTGATTTCCCCATCTGCCCAATGTGACTGACTAATCCTTGCCCCTCTAAACACACCTTCGTCTCTGATGGTGGCACAGGATTCACTGTGGCTCTTGGGGTCCCCGTAGTGATGGAAAGAAAATTCCTCTTCAACTAGAGACCCCTGGCTCTAGCTTCTCATCTCAGGGTTCTGGGTAAATGAGACCCAGTTCGCCATGGATTTCAGTCATCTTTTAGGAGCTCTTGGCTTTCCCCAAGGTCAGCTTCAGAACCAGAATCCTGGGCTGGCTGGAGGTGTTGCCAATACCTTGCTTGTCCAAGGTGGTACTCTTGTCCCCAAGTCCTGGGTCTTTATTCAGCCATATGTACCTCATAAATCACATGGCACTTGGAAGGGAGACCTTGGCTCCTGCTGGCCACAGCTTTCTGCCTGGCTTCAAACTGCCATCTTGCTCCTCTGCTCCCCTCCTTCCATCCTCTTTCGGCCTCCCATTCACACTATGGCTGCCGGAGAGATCCCCTATTCCTTCCCAGCTAAACCCCCATTGATCTCCTTCCATCTTTAGAATATCAGGCCCCTCCACTGTAGCATGCTCTGCCCCCTGACCTCAAACCTCTCTCCCATTTCCCTCCACTCGTGTCCCTTTTCCTCACCCCATTGCAGCCACACTGGCCTTCTTGCTTTCTTTAAAAAACACTAAACTCACTCCCCCAGAGGCTTTTGCATGGGCTGATCTCTGTGCCAGTAATGCCCTTCTTGAACTTCTTCAAATTGCCTGGATCTTATGGATGAAAAAGAGGTGCTGTCATAAATCATAAATTTCTGACTGGGCAGGTCAGGGTGGCCAGTCTCGTCCCAGGCCTATAACTTCTTTAGTGAAAGGTTTTAAGCCAGCCCTGTCTACTGCTCTTGTGCATCTAGGTTAACACACCTTTGAAATGCCAGAAGCAATACCTCCCAAAGGAGGTATTTACCCTCAAGAGAGCACATAATCTTAATTATCTTGTAATCCAATCCCTGCCTTGCTTTCTCCCGCCTTAATGTAATCTTTCTTGAATTTTCTCCTTAATTTCGAATCCATAAAAGAAACTGCAAACTGTTACTCTCTGAAGTATTTGAGATATTGATCCCTGGCAGTTATTGTCAGTTTGGGCTCAAATAAACTCTTACAATAAAAATTCTCTACAGGTTTGGACATTTCTTAAGTCAACAATCTAGAGCAGCCCCTCCTTCCCATCATACCACCTCTCTGAGCTTCTGCGGTGTTCTCCTCTAATCTGCATTCTTTATGTCTGCTCCAGGAGGAAGGGATGTGTTCTCTTGTCTCTGGCTGGCTTTACCCAGGGACTACAACTGTGTCTCATATATAGTAGGTCTTCAAAAGATGCCTGTAGAATGACAATATGATGTTACATGATTTGCCTGAAGTCAACATAGCCAGCAACTGCCAGAGCTGCAACCAAGGAGAATGAGCATCAGGGACCTCAGGGAGGGCATCAGGGGACCTCAGGGAGGGCTGCTCAGACCCGTGCCCTCCATTCCAGCTGTGGATGAAAAAAAAGGGGGGATTCTATGGAAAGGAACCTCACAGACCCGTGCCCTCCATTCCAGCTGTGGATGAAAAAAAAAGGGGGGATTCTATGGAAATGAACCTCACAGAGTGATCTGATTATAAATTTCTAACTGGGAAGGTCATGGTGGGTAGTCATGCCCCAGGCCTATAACTTTTGTAGTGAAAGGTTTTAAGTCAGCCCTGTCCATTGTTCTTGTGCATCTAGGTTAACACACCTTTGAAATAGCAGAATACCCCTCAATGGGGGTATTAACCCTCAAGAGAGCACATAATCTTTTTAACTATTCTGTAATCTAATCCCCACCTTGTTTCTCTAACCTTCCTTACATCCCCTCCTTAATTTAAAATACATGAGAGAAGCTGCAAAACTGTTATTCTGCAGAACATTTGAGATCTTGCTCCCCAGAGCTCAAATGAACTCTTATAAAAATTATCTACAGGTTTGCACGTTTTTTTATGTCGACATTATCTTTCTAGGAGTTGGGACACAAAGGTGCTGTGTTGGAGGGTAGGAAGTGGCACAGATGTTGTGCTGCCAGCATCAGGCACCAGCAAAGGCCACAGTGACATGAGAGCAGAGCCACGTGCTGGAGTCTGAGCTGTCCCCCAGGACTCGTGCTGTGCCTGGGGAAAAGGGAACACTTGGGGAGCCAGGACAGGGCATGTCCCCATATGAGAGTCTCCGCGGCTGGCTCCCAAGGTACCTCCAGGATAACCAGAAGAGACATGAGTGGGGAATAGGAGTGCCAAAGGGGTGACAGACAACCCAGCACTGTTATTGTGGTACTTGCTGGGCGGTGGCTTTTGGTCACTGACAGTGCTGATGGATTGTAATGGTAATGACTGCCCGGAGTGTCATGTAGAGCAGTAGAATTCTGAGTTACATTTCGAAAGGAAATGCCTGGACTAACGAGCAGTGCTGCGCAGAGGCCATCAGTACAGGAGGCTGGCAGTGCAGGCCAGGCATTACCTGCCTCTCTGCCTCAGGGTCCAGAGATGGCTGCACTTGAGCCAGGCGTGAGGAAGCTCAGGTTACTGGAGCCGTTACAAATGCCAGTGCACACATACTCACAGATCCTTCATGCCATTTCCCATGTGTCTTGCTGTACCCTGGAGAGGACAGGCTGGCATCACCACAGCCCCTTCTTGGCCTCCCGCAAAGCCTGTATACCTTGGCTAAGGCACAGGGCAGAGCCAAGGTCCAGCCTCTCCCGCTGTTCAGCCCTGGGCATCCAGCTGGACCTTCGGACATGAAGGCCCCCACAATGCCCATGCCCTTTGACTGGGAACTCTGCGTCCAGGAGCTGATCCTCAGGGTAGCTCCACCTGCAGACATGTCTATGACAGCAGAGGGCAGGGACTGGTGGGGGCCTGAGCAATTATTTTACCTGATCAGTGTGAAGACCAAACCTCCCCAGAAATGGGCTTACTCTTGGGAACAGAAATTGGACGGGCCTTAGGGGAAATGTAACTCAGTGGTTCCAACAATCAGATATGACCGTCCTCTAGCTAAATCATAAGAACCACCTGAGCAGTTATTAAATACAGAGATCCCTGGGCACTACATCTAACCTTCTGAACCAGAATATCCAGGGTGGGGCCTAGGACTCTGCATTTCTAAGTGGACCCTCAGGCAGTCCTGTTTCATGTTCTGAGAACTCTCCAGAGGAAAATACTGGGGAGACTCTTAGGGCCTGAGTTCAATGCCTTGTTGAATGCCCCATAAGGCTGAGTGGGGTGCAGCAGGTAAAGAATGAAAAGTCCAGGGTGTGGTGGGAAGTCGTGATACGTTGTTAATGGAGTAAAAACAAGGTGTAAAACAGCAGATAATGTGTCAAACAGCAGGTATTTCTGTCAAAAATAATAAAAGCAGGTGTGTGCATGTATGCATGTGTTCCCGTGTATGTGCATGTTTGTAAGTTTGTATAGGCAAAGCGGAGAGGTTGCTAGCACATGATCCAAGCTGTGGGAGACTCTGGAGGGTAGGACTGAGGAGGACTTTTAATTTCTATTTTACACATTTTTCTTTTGTTGGA